TATATGTACGTAATTTCTACATACCGGTAGTATAAATCAAAGGCGATCAAACCAAAAACATTTCGTTGGTTTCATTCGACAGATGCAGGTCGTCTAAATACTAGTTACTATCTTAGAGCAATCCTCCTCCTGTGAAAATATAGTAGGATAACGTGAGATTGTTTGTAAGAAGTAGTATTACGAACCCTACACAATGTGGTACCATCCTAATTATATTTGTAAATTGTTGAAGAGTATGCAACAACGGTATATTTTTTTTTGAAGTCCGAGTTCGCTTCCAACAGACTACACTACAGAAGTGGGTACAGGTATGGCACCTCAATAAAAATGCTTTGAGCGTTATATTTGACACGTCAGCTATTAGACATTGCTTCAGATGGCTAGCCCCCATTACGATACGAAGTATGTGTATACCCATATTCAGTCACTGTGTGTCTTCAAGCCTGATAGGTATACACGTTATCACAAGAACTGAACATCCCATCTGAAGTGAATTCGTTATCTAGTCACTGTTGATCGTTCAGGAACACTTCAATTTTTCCTGTTCGCTTTAGCTACTCCGCTGTCGTCGAATCACCTGGGTGTATATGACACACTGAGCTGATATCTACCTAGTTTTTAATTCATACCGCCGAGCCTGCATGTCCGGTATCATACTTATGTGCTATGTCTGGTTTTGAAATAATCTGCTAAGGCCTGAAAAAATCGAAATTTTTAACGTTGGTAGCCATTGCTATATTTATTTGAAAACACATACTCCATAGCTTATGTTCAGACAGCCCCGATACTATTCACAGATGGTAACTCATTGTTTCAATAGCTTGAACTTAAGCAAAGTTGCTTACGAGCACATGGTATGCTGTCATCTGCGCGTCATCCGAGCATCGTACCGTCAGCTAATTTCGTTTTTGGATGGATTGTGTTTCGTTCGAAAACGACGTTCAGCCTCCCTGCCTCGTACAGAACGGGTGATCCGTCTTGAGGAACAGAGTTTTACAAGAGCCTAGTTCACTCATCTGCAACTCCCTGCCACTTCGTCTCGTAACCCAGTTCTTCTTGGACATGCCGTGACTTTCCTATTAAAGATGAGCCCCACTTCCCACTAACTATAGATTAGTCTCGTACGAGCCAGGTTCAAGATGTCCTTTTCTTTGAAATGTACGTTGTTGTTTTTGTTGTTGTTGTTGCTGCTGCTGTTTTTTTACACATTTGAGATAACATTCATGCACGAGCGACGCAAAAGGCTTTTGCTGTCTATTTAGTTTGACGATACTTAACGCGTCACCGTGTGAGACACACGGGCAAAGCCGAGAAATCTCAAAGTGCTTGCAATAGATTCTTGCACAGTGTCTCTGTGCACTGCTTTCGACACACGAATAAGCGGCGACCTTATATCACGTTGTTCTTGATCTATCTAGTTTATTTGCCCTATTATAGCTCACAGATGTTTTAGCGTCTCGTTTAATCTTGCTTAACTAGAATCGGAGCGAAAAAATTGTTAGTCGCTGTCTTTGAGATATAAAGGAGAACGATATCAATGTTTGTGGGCAAGTCTCGATACAGCGCGTTAACGGCTACACAGTTAGCCCGTATTAATTGCGGCAGGCATCTATTGCTTCCATTATTGGCAGTGGCTTGTCTCTGTTGGCCTGGGCCGCTGGGGGGTCCTTCGGTTCTACATGAACGGTGATCCAAGCTACCCCGTTATTTTGGGTCGATATCGTTAGCTCCTAGACGCGAGTGAACTGGTCAAGGAGGCCGCTAACTTTGGGCTTCCGATATTTCGATAGTACTTCTATTATTGTCATTACCATTGTTACTTTGTGTCTCCTCCTTTGCAGTTAGCTTTTTCGGCGTCGATATAGCCACGGCTGCAGGCACGAGATGTATTCTAGAGTCTTGCCTTGCAAAGAGAAATATGTCGTTATTAATAAATGTCCCTCACATGCCCCACTTGGATTTGACGGGGCTGAATCAATTTATAAATAAAGCGCAACAAGAAATCGAAACGGTAGCGAGACAACAGAGCGTAACAAAATTTTCTTTCAATTGTTCGCTTATTGACGGTCAAATTCAGACCCTCTGATAAAAAGAAGCATTCTATTAACAGTTTCAGTACGTTCGTCTCTGATCTTCATCTGTTAAGCTGTTAGAATGTGATTTCAAAGCACAGTTCCTCACCTAATTCAACTGTGTTCTTCCTTTTTACGCGGCCAACATATTTGGGTCCTCCATTAAGAAAATTCTTGGACGTTCGCGATAACACCATTTACATCTTCGCATCTTTTTCATATAGTTCCTACCAAAAAAAAAGCTGTAACGCTGAATTGGCGTGGGGTTTTGTCGATTATGTCCTGACGATAATTTTGTTGACCGAACATAGTCGATTTGCTTGGAGGCTTTCTGATTTATTTCACAGTATATAACACTCCCTATTTGGCAGTGATGGCGCTAAGAGTTAGATGCTCTGTTTGCGTGCGTATCGAAGGCAAAACGGGATAAATCCGTCGAAATCCCTCAAGATGGAGTTGAGTTAAAGGCGGAGGAACGCTGCAGGCCCAGCCTACGTACCACTAGAGGGCTCAAACTGTTGTCAGACGATGAATCTTCAATCTGTAGCTCGTCCCTCTTTTTGTCACTTTATTTTCCATCAGATTTACGCCCTTCTGTCCCTATATGATGTTGTTGTCTCTTGCCCTTTCGGATGATTCAACTGGTGTCAAGTCAGCCGACCTCTCGTCGCATTGGTCCCACTGAGACGTAATCCATCACCGAACACCTCTCTGACAGAGGCTACAATTGACTGCGACTTATCCAAAGACGAAAACGGATTGCGTCATACAAAAACAACGAAAACAAATGGAGATAGAGGAAAAATCTTATAAGCTACGTCTCTATGTGAGGTCAATATGGACTGAGTACGAGCGGTTCGGAAGCAAAATTGCAGAGCAAGATTCGTAAATAACTCGATTTATCCTCTACCTTTGTCGGCACTTAGACTTACAGATACATTGTGGCCTATTAGTTAGATAAGACACCGATTTCAAAATATATCTACTGAGAGTGGTCTAGAATACTGCACTCCTCAAGGAAGATATCTTGGGCTATTAGCAGGTAGGAGGAGGGAACAAGTTATGGGGCCTGGTTTAGGACGTGTAGATAAAACTGCGCCAAGTTATTCTCAAATGGATTGACTTGCAGAGCCCAAAAGAAGTTATAACAGAAAACTTAACAAACTGCTACCCAAAAAAATTACTAACCTTCACCTTATAATAAATAAGATGTATTTTTTGAATACATAACCCAAGGAACACTATTGCGCCTGCATTGAAAATGACTGCAATAAATATCCATAAGTGCTTCGCGATATCGTACTCTCAATATTAGGAACAGGTATTTAATGTGGTTTCTACTATATTCATTTTAAATCTAGCTTATGAAAGAAAAATAATAACTGTTGCAATTATAGAGAAAAAGAAACGCGTAACGTCAAAACTGTCGACGAACCATACATGCTTTGGTCTTACGCTATTTAACGACAGACATATTATGTCCACGATAAAAGTGGTCTCCATATAATATATTCCTACAGAGATCAGCTTTTTAGGATTGCGGGTGCCATTTTCTTATTGGACTCCACAGTCGTTGTAAACCACGAGATGGTTTTCTGCCTGCTAGAGTCGAAACGATGTCCGGTCATCATGAGGCGAATGATACCGGATGTGCGAAACATAGGGCACGGTGAGGCAAGCCGAAACCTTCAGGGTTCAGGTCTTCAATTCTCGGCATCTGCTAGCTTCTTTTGCAGCCCTGTCGAATTTCCACAGCCGCTATTGCAGGCACTTCGTACTCTTGGAGATCTGACTTTCGGTATTTGCGACGCGACGCGACGGGGCCCCGTAGAAGATTCGAGAGGAGATCAGATTGAGCAGGAGTAAAAAGGAAGTGCTGATGACGAGTCACCTAAAGAAAGTTGGGAATCCTTCCTGAAACGGCCGGATGCTGCGGGACATTCGAAGAGATGGTGGATCAGTGGCACTGGACGTGCTATGTGGAACAAGTTAAACCTTCGGCAAAAAGACTGCAGTTATGGTATGCATGGCTATGACAGATAAGCCAATTAGAAAAGTGAATTGTTGATCAACTTGTGAAATCAAAGGCAAAACTGAAATTTAAGCGAAGTCGATATTTATGGCAATATTATTCAATGAAAAGTTTGACGCGCTTTGAAAGAAGAAAAGTTTGCTAAAAGACGACGCACAGTAATCCTCTAAGGTTTACCGAATGTTTTGTCACAGAATACGGCGTTGTGAACTTTATTAACACGATCATACTGTTAATTTAAGGAAAATTAAAAGCCAATCAAAAAAAAATGAATGTGTTTTATAAATTCTCTGCGGAATAAATCAATATATTGCTATAGATAGACCACTCAAAAAGTACCATCAAAATAAAAACACAAATCGGAAAGCGAGCACAATCACATGAACAAAACAAATTTGGCGATCTAAAACAAAAAACACTTTCAAAAATAATCTTATTTTTTTCTAATAATCCTATTTCTACTCTAACTCCGTGTCTTATTGATATCATCCGCACCGACTCGAATATAGATTACCAAATAGCTATTTATATTAATTATTATACTTTGGAAGCTTATTATTGACTTTTCCGCATCTAAATCATGCAATATGGTCAAGCTGGCTTGACGATATAAAGCTCGTTTGGATGTAAAAAGATAGCCGTCATATAAGCTAGACTGTCCGTCCCGTCTACTCGACGACTCCTATAAAAGCGTACGGTGTCGCTACGAAAAGACATATTGTATAACGTGGTGGTGCTGTATAACTCCCTTTCGCTCCACTGTTCCACTCTCAGTCTATATATAGCTATAGGTAGCCATATAAAGTGGCAGCAGGGTGGCAGGAGCTCCGTTGCTTGCGTTGTTCGTGAATGCCAGAGATGAACGGAACAGGGCTATTCAATCAGGACAGCTTTGCTAGTCCCACTCTTAGAAGCGCTGGCTGCCAGTCGTCAGTTCCCAGCCTAGAGAACCATCGACGTTCTTTTCGTCCTTACATACTCCGGTCTTCCCGAACGCGAGCTGCAGTCTTTAGGCGCTGGAATGAGTCGGTTGAGCACGAGCTATCTTCAGCTGCCTCCCGCGAATCCTAGCTTTTTTCGTCGACACTAGCAGGTTCATATCATCTTCGCCTAAAGTAACTCCCCCTCTCTGACCCTCTCACTTTCACTCGATCGTTGAGCGGCTCTCTTACATTTCCTGGCGCCCTTTTTCGTAGACCGTTTTCCCTGGGTGCTTCCGCCCATCCCCTTTGCCCAAACCCGAAGCCCCGAGAGCTTCATAGATCCAGCTGACTCAGATCGCCCCTTCAGCTTCTCTTGGCTACTACAGTTACCTAACGTTCCACTTCCACTATTCCTGCTCGTGGTGATCCCCTTGGGACGCGTCGTCAACCAGATGATCGTTTCGTATAATCAACAAGCAGACCAGATCGCCAGCGATCGACCCTCTACAGATACACTAGATAGACGCCGGCGAAATATCTCGTCTTTGTGTATATGAAAGGAAGAGCAAAGCTCGACGTGCTGCACCTCGCAACAGGTAAATGTGATTGGACGACAGCGGAAAAATCGACCAGTCTTATGTCATTGTGCTAGATTGTGTCCGGCTGTGCCCATGTATTGTGTAAAAGTATTTACTTTAGTCAACGTGGAATTGGATGGCGTACATTAATAAGAGCTCTAGGTAACGGCAAGTACCAAAAATTCGTTAGGCCTTAATTTATCGCTCGGTTCATGACTCTTTTTTTGATTCACGGGAAGCTAACTTGCCTGCGAGACGACATCGAGTTTTCATTGCTCACTACAACCATCAGATTTTTGTGCCGCTTTTCTTCCTAATTTCTCATAACACTTTTTAGATCATAGGTTAACCTTATTTGATTTACAGGTTTGATATTTTTGTACCATACGCTATTGGGCAAGTTACGTGTCGCTTAAGCATTATTTGATCCTTTTTACAAATTCACAAATTTACATAACCATGCATACAAGCAGAACCACACCTAGACCCACATTAATAAATTCCACAATTAGCTTGTTTGTATCGTCGACTAGCGATACAATACGACATAACCGACACAAGTCCTTGAAAGGCAAGAACCGTGACGGTTCAGAATATGTGTTCCTTCAACGGTACTAGCGACATTTCCCCTTACTCAAAGCTCCTTCACAAAGGTCCTATGCCGGGATAGGTTCTTGATTATTTCCAAATCCACCGCCTTTCACCTCCCTCTACAATCCTAAGCAGACATTCTGCTCGGTCACCGTTCTCGGCCCGCTATGAGTCGCCAAGCCACCCTGGCTTGCTAGAAGAATATTTTTCAATCTTACTTTGCTTAGTCACGCCGACCTTTCCGCTTGTCTCCCTTGTCCAAGTCTCCTCGCAGCTTTGAGCGTTTATTCTCAGGGTTGATTCGGCCGCCTCGCGTTGTCCCGCTTCGCTGAGCCCTTAATCCATGCAAATGTTTCGAGGTCCTTCGCAAACCCCACCCGAAACCAGTTCCCCTCAGAACATCGTGTCGACTCCGAGGACATCTCGACTGCCAGACCACGACGCGGTATGCAGTGCGAACGATTCCTTTACGGAACTCAAGCGTTGATCTTCGTTCGCTAACGCGGGTTAGCCGAACAAAGGTCAGTGGAAGAACTGGAAGGTTTCGAGAAAGTCTGGATCAGGAACTCGAATCTATTGTAGATAGGTCTAAGCACTGTTTTTTTTTTATTTGACTTGAAATGACTGCAACTATTCACATAGTCCTCAAACGATTTTGCGTTCTTTTAGAGTATAGATGTACTATCTTGGTAATACACAGAGGTTCAGAAGCTGGAAATGGAGGCTCAAAAGATTCAATATAAATTGATTCCATAAAAGTAAAGATGGCGGCGATCAGCGATATTTTTTTACGTTTGCTAGTTCATGTACGGTACAGCATAACGTCAGTAATAAGCCACTTAATGTTCTAAACTGAGCTCTATGTGGTTACATTAAACATTGGTTCTTTAAACATTCGTTGACTTTAGGCTTCGGCTAGATAGGAAGATCGCATTAAATATTTTTTTATATATAAAGCAGAGCCAAATTACGTACTTATTTGCAAGAAACAAGAACGAGGAATTCTACCTGAACTGAGAAAACAACGTCCGAACTCGACGCTCGTTTCGTATTCCGTCTCACTCCAGATAACGAACATTTAATAGTTTTTGTTACAACATTTCTCTAATATTCTCACAGATGTTTACTTTGTCTTAGACTATTGTGCAATAAAGTATTCTCGACCATTTACTAATATTATTAATGATTATTCTCACTTAACTCTGACCACAGCTCGGTAGCCTTTTCAACCCAGAGTGATCTTTACTGAAATAGCCAATAACATTCCTTTGAGTTCTGAACCACTGAGTCCCATAAGTTCATTAGGAAACCGCCATGTCCGTTACGATAGATGTCCCGTTCATTTAGTCATATGCCACCGTTTTAGGCCCCAACACTGCGATACCTTCCCACGCGCCATATCGTTCGTTTCTCCTGATACGTTTTAATAGGGCCATGCTGCCCGCTCTCAGTGGGATTTCAGGATCGCCGCTGTCTTTCCTCTGCTGTTCCTGGCTAAAGAAGCAGCACCTGTTTATGCTGTCCCTGCTTGCCTAGCAGAATACGCAACAGCTGCTGAGCATTTCCGTTCGGTGTGACCCTGCAGTGGTCGCTGCGTGAAGGGGATCGGTCGGGGACGAATTACCGGCGAGTGGGGCTTTTCATCGAATAGAAGGAAAGCAAATGAGTAAGAGGGTAAGTATGGGGGGCGACATGTTGTTGGTTTTTGCCATCGTCGCCTCACCCTGGCGCTAGCAAGGACCAACATCGTGTCACATAACCAGCCAGGTCCACGGCAATAAGTCAAGAGGTCGCATGGGTAAACGGTCAGGAGTTGTTGCATAGGAGCGGTATTAAAAGATGTTAGCTCCGCCGCCTCGTCAGCACCTGAAATGCTGGTCGTTCGTTAGTTCGTTCAGTTGCTTTCAACGTAGGGGCGAGATGCCCGGTGGGTGCCGTAGTTACGATGGAAGCTCAAAGCGAATTTATTCGTAACATCCCTCACGCCGTCTCTTTTCAAACCGATGTTGGGTAGGCAGAAGAAATAAAACGTAGCTTTGCCCTCCGTCTCTATAACTGGAAACTGTAGAAGCTAATATAGACCAAACTACCGAACCATTAGATGGGACAAAGTTTGAAGGAAGATCTTTTTTGTAGAGTGGTATGATTCGATATCGTGTTTTGTTGCTATCGATATACCTGCTAGAAATGCTATACCTTGAAATGAATAATAATATTGGAACCTTTTTTTTTTTCGTAATGAAACCTTGTTCATCATACTTGGAGTTTTAGGTACAATTTACTCGTCGTATAAGGGTATAAACGATGACCTATCACATAATGCTAATATACCATATATTCACTCAGAACAAGAGCACCTACTTCGTTTCACGTAAACGCGTCTACGAATGAATCGGAAGAACGAGCGCAATTATATGTTGATCTAGGAAAATTGAATTACTATCTAGTAACGGACCGTTGTTAGCCGTCAAGCAGGGTCATTACTGAAGATGCGTGACGGGACATGACATCGCAAGCTTTCATTGCCGCAATGTTTGCTTGCATGAAAATGAACATACGAGATGAGGATGTACTAACCGCACCTGGGAATGTTCAAGCCCGTTGCTGGGAAGGCCGATTTTATCGATAGGATCTCTTTTAGTTTCGTTTTTTTTAAAATAAACAGTGTTGAAATTATGATAAACCGGACGTAATTCTCGACGTAATTCTACGCATGATATTCTGTCTAAAAATACGCGTCTTTCGGTGTTTTATAGGTATCTTCATGACGTTGCAGACTGGCGGAAAGTCCTACCCAACCGCTTTATAAACTGCCATTTCGATGTCACAGATAATGAACTTTCTGGCGGACCTTCAGCATTAAGTGGTTTCCTGTAAAGACGTGCTTTAATCGGTGAACTTATTAAGTGACACGTAGCACTGAAGTTAGTTGGCAGGAACAGTCATACCTTCCTTCAAATTGAAGACAAAACCTTTTGGAGACTAGCCTTGTAATGGATGGGTTGTGGCAAATGTAAAATGATAACATTGGGTCGGATTTCCATGACAAAATAAAGTCGTATTTGCTCTCCTATTAATACATGAATGTGAATCTCTATGCGAAAGTTGCCTCTCTTATGACAAATCTAGTATAATGGCCTTTTTTGTGTATCAGGTTACGTTGCCTATGTAGCCTGATCTATCGTTCTTACACACGCGATCCACATAAGGCCAGTCCAATCCGCTTCATCACCATAACACCAGTTTCCTATCAAACTTATTATAGGTTCTTTCGGCTCCCCATTAATGTTCCCTTTCTCTTTAACCGCCTCATTATTTATTGTTTTTTTTTTTATACGCCATTCGAGCGTGCTTTCTTTTTTCTAAAAGTTCACTGTGGTTTCATTGCGTAGTACACAGAATTTCATGTCCAGCGTACAGATCTCAAGTGAAACAAACCTATTCTATTTAACTACTCTGCTTGCGTTTTGTCGAGGCAGCGTGGAAGATTTGCGTCGTGTACAACGACGACTTGATAATTGGAAGGATTGCTTAGAACTGACTGAAGAATGGCATTTTATAGTTGGGGGTGCTCTACGCCTCAACCGGCCATCTGAGGATCGATTACAGGAAGACAATTTCAAGCAGGCTGTAGATTAGATCTATGGTATTTGTTCGATAAACTAGAAGGTTGGATAACGCTGAACAGACGGAACGTCACGTAGAAATGGTGCTTCTTGTCAGCTTCTAATGTCTTATGCGGCACCGAATTACATGCAGCGAGAAAATCTATACAGAATTGTCACTAGTGGCAAAAAGTAGTCGATATAAATCAGAGAAAAGGATGACTAGCTTAGATATAAATGCTCAGCCCCAAATACAAAAAAGCGACAATTTGCGTTGAAGGGAACCGGAAGGATCTTGTGCTTTAGGAAATACTTGAGGAGAATAAGACGCTCAACGAGGATCTGTAGATGGCTCAGTGTCATTGAATAAACGAGCCAAAACAGCAGAAGACACCCGATGGACAAGGCAAAGCCATCCTATTTCCTGACAATTCCACGCCGCAAAGCTGTCCTGCAAGAGCTTGAGTAGAAGCTCGTTTTATATCCATTATATTCCGCGGACAATCTGTGGCAAACTGTTACATTTTCCGTTCACTGGAAAGTTAAATTGGTAACCGTACATTCAATATATCGGAGAATCTCAATGTCTAGTTGAAAGATCACTCGAAAGAATTGATTGATAAGTGGGAGCAGGTCATAGGGAGCGACAACAACTATATTGTAATTAAATGTATCGCCAGAATTTGCTGCTGTTTTGTTAAGTAAAAGCTAAAATTACTTTTAGTCGTGACTTTTGCCATAAATTGTAAAGTGTAGGAAAAAGCAACAAGTATCAGTCTCAACTTTGCCACGGATTAATAGCTACGAATTGTACATGCTTATGCCTGGAGTTTGTTCAGATTGGTACTCCCTATGTCCTATAATACGGGCAAGCCTGTATTTGCAGATCTGTCCTGTTGTAAGAGAATTTGGTACGTTTAAAATTTTTTTTTATTTTATTACATATGTAATCCAACCTATGCTGTGGATAGGATAGTACAATAACATCGAATCACTATTAGAACAGAGCGAAATGGACAAATATATAAGTATAATAAGAGAAATGGGAGACATTAATGTATCTAAGCCGTTCCATATATTGTAACCAAGTTTTTCAACGATGGTTACAGTAGACATACACAAGCAATCAATCATTGACTTTTCTAGGTTTTTATGATATGTATTTCCTATACTCTTTCGGTTACAAGGTCTGTGCATTAATAGTTTTACTTCAAATAAAGACTCGCATATGTGAAAGCATGTGATAAACAACGTCCTGTGCTAATGTAGAATAACTAAAACATTGAGCTCAATTGTCTGCTTTCTCTTCTGTAATAGGAACCCACACAGTGCAAGTTAGCCCCTTAGCGGTGACCCCCCCCCCCCCACACACACACATTACGGCGGAGCCTTAAGGAGTGGATGTGAAAAGTAATGACCACCTCCGGTCATCTCGACGACGCCGGAAACGACTCATTTCGAGAGGGGTACGCTACCATGCTAAGCCAAATCGTAAGGCAAAGGAAATGATGGGAAAAATCCGATCCATACTGCCGTAAGCTAGATTAAATATATGGCAATGAAATAATTTGACAAAAAGTGCGTAATGCAATATATGATATTTTTAGCCTATTTTGAAGATGTATATTTTTAGCCTAGAAAAACACCTATTCTCCTTAAAACTCGAAGCCTTGACGTGGCTCCGTTATGCAGGTTGGACTTTGCTCGTTACTAGATGTTTCAGAAGTTTATCGAAAACCACCGCTGAGCTTAGAGAAATTGCTACTTCTAGGATTTGTATCGTTAATTGTACTGAATGCACTTTGGTTATTTTAGATAGAGGAAATCTACTAAGGCTATCGAGGTGTTGGGACCTGCCATTAGAAATTGCAGAGGAATCCTGACAGAGCATACCAACGGTTGGCCAGCTGCATCTTGGCGCTATCTCAGACCTGCAAATTTGTAAACAAAGTCAATGATTATACGTTATGAAGCACGCTTGTTTTATGCCGACTAAAACTATAGTAATATAAATCATTACTATAGATATCAGCTGAACTGAGCGAACTGTAGACTGGATAGCCAAACAGAGCTAATGGTAACAGAATACTAAGGATTCAGAGTTAGAGATCAAGTGAAATATCTCTAACTTATCATATAATTCCATACTGGTAAACAGAACCATATTTTGAGAAGTAGGTTCAACCTAACAAAAGTTACTAGCCATTCGTATTGTCTGAAATTTTGATGAAAACTCATGCAGAAATATTACGAAACGAAAAGCAATTTAGAGCTTGCTTTTGGTTGAAATACTTAACGGAGAAGGATTTAGATGGCGTCTCGAGCATAATATCGTTTGCAGATTTGGTTTTATCTAAAGGATAGAGAGGATGACAGGATACGGCCATAAATATTCCATGAATCGCTGCTTTAATAATCACTATGATAGAATAAATATTTAAAAATCTCCTTTTTAGTGGTGTAACCGTATGCGAGACCTGACACACGCTCATTATACATGTCAAAGGACAAATATTTCGATCCGTCTATGACAGCTTCTATTAATCCGTTCTCGAAATAGGCGTAGAAGACGAAGCGTTCTGGGTTCGTGATCGGGCGTAACGAGCGTTTAGTATTCGAAGTAGCTATGTATTGGTACAATTCGTAACTTACTAGGTGATCTGAAACTGAAATATGTATCGTTTTTATATTGGATTTCTATATGTCAATCTCTTTTGCTCAATGAATATTTACGCCGCTAAGTTCGAAATTTTTTCAAGTTACATGTTAGATTAGGGGAAAGCTTGCATGGGATACGAAAAATCTTTAATTGTCCAAGAAGACCTAACTGACACCTAACTGAGTATGCAGTCGAAAAATATCATGAAACCCATGCAGCAATACACACAATTGTCCATGTGTGAGGAAGAAAAGGCCGCACTAATCTCCATTTGCGGGTCAGTGCTTCCCGTTTTTCCGCTTATTTAGTTTCATTGGAGGATTTCCTTGATTCCTGTTTGTAGTTACGATTTCCTCTAATAGATTAGTGATAATACGATAGAATAGGCAGACTGCAAAAAAACAACAAAATCCGCTTATTTCGAGAGCAGGGGCAAGGCTTTGAGTTGCTGCTGTTACGTAAAGACTGCTTGAGTTTCGCTCATACACAACGCAGTAACGAGCAAGCCAATACGAATAGAATTCGTATTTTTCTGCCATGGAGAAATTTTTCCGTCAGAGACTTTTTGAGGTTTTAGTGCGCTTTATCCATCGATTGTTCATAATGAAGAGTATTAGCTTGTAGCAGTAGCTGCTCTCGTATCTATTCTACATCTTCTTGTAACAGCCTAGTATAACGCCCGCATACCGAGATCACCTGCTGTTCTCTGCATGAATCTTACGAAGAATACTAGTGCCGTTCCGAGCGGTTCGTGTGGTGTTGCTAAAGGTCGATTTTTTTCTTTGAAATCTCGACGCTGGTTGTTAGAGGTCGCACGCGGAAGAAGACTCAATTTCACAGGCATTACTTGGGTCTCTTCGTTGTCCCTCGGCCCCTTCTCCAAATGGCGTTAATCTAGATAAACTCGTCGGCGGCACGAAGAGCGGCACCGTCCTCCACTTTGACCAGTGAGCCAGGCACGAAGCGCGCTGCTTCGGGTTAGAAAGACGAGGACAGCTAAAAGCCATACATAAACCAAGAATCGGCTTACTAGGCTCATGAGTATCCAGTCGTCAAGTAGAGCTCCAGTGTCGACACCAAGGCCTTGCAGATGTCTCGCTTGAATCACGGCCGACACAAGCGCATAGAACCAAATCAGGTTTGAGTTGCTCCATAGTAGGGGAAAATCGATACGAAGCCGAGTTCTGTCGCACATTCGTCCCTATCTCACGAATTGGCTTGTGGGAAAATCGATTTTTGCTTTTTTTACTCTGCAGCATCTTCATTCTTCCTTGTGGATGAAGAAAAAGAGTTCGCGGGAATCAGATACATTGAGAAATACATAGGGAGCTACGTAGTAACGACGTAGGTATAATAGAACGAGGTCGAGAAGTGAAAAACAACACACGATCAACATAAAATATTGTTTTTTTAATAGAAAATAGATGTGTGTTTATATTTCAGGGACTTAGCAATACTTTTTGTGCCTTTTAGTTGGCTAAGATTGGCTAATGAATTTTCGTGATTTTGGTAAATTAATGATGTGGATATTCTGTCCTAGTTGTCTTTCTTATTAAATAGTGTATGACAAGTCGCAGACGGAATTGATTAAATCATAAGCTGTAATAGAAAGAATGAGTTTGGGCTATTGTATGAGCTCAGTCCCTACAATAGAACTATCATCATCAGCATTTGAGTCGTTGTTACCTAAAATGAAGCCCGAGTGGCGCGTAAGGTTTTGATTTTCCGGAAGCGGCATTAAAGGATATTGCTTCGGTTTTCCGATTGTGAGGTCGCTTAATTACTTTATAATATCTTCAGTAATATAACGTTTATACGTTG